CAACTCCAAGCGACTTGGACTTGGAGTTGCCAAACGGAGCTATTGTAGAAGCTCCTGTAGCCTCTACTTGAAACTAGCATTGTGACGTCATCACGTTAACGTTATATTAATATTAGAAGTAGGTAACAACGCTGTCTATCGAGGTGCGAATGTACCTTTATTGAGGATTAACACTTTTGGTAAAAAATTGTTTTTTACTTTGATTTTAAGAAATGCCAAACCCTCATAAGCTGTCCAATATCAATAACATTAATTTGCGAACAACCAATCAGGATTGTGTAATTCGGAAAATGCAAAATAAAAAATATTTTACCCAAGGTGTAACTGTTCCATAAGTAACATAATCGCAGCTCAAACATGCAGATATCATATCACGGACTACTAACCAACGAACTCAGGCGAGATTTTGGTACACTTAAAGTGTATAACAAATTTGAAGTCGATTCATTAAAATTTGTTCGAGTTATCGTCGGACAAAATTTGTCTACAGACATACATACATACAGACATACATACAGACAAACATTTTTTTAAGACCCATTTTTTCGGCATCAGAAAGTCTCAAAACGTCGAGATTCACTGGAATTAGAGAAGGCTCAAAATCGCCCAAATGTAATACCTTCTCATTATGATGAGAATATAAAAAATTAATTTTTAATTAAAAATTAAAAAAAAAATTCGAAATATTATGAGTAAGTTACTGTTATTTGTGTTAATTAAAGGTGGTTTAAAGAGAAATAATACATATTTGAACACATTTTTTCAAAATAAAGTGATTTTGCTCTGCATTTTACCCATTTTTCATCCGTTTTTGTCATTTTTTGTCTTTTTTTAAAAAAGTGGTATAACTTTTTTGTTTTAATCGCTATTAAAAATTGTCAAAAGAAGAAAGTGTTTATTTTTAGTTGAATTTTCGAAAACAAAATTGAAAAATTTTTTTTTTTGAAAAATGCGAATTTTTGAAATTTTTAAAAACTCAAAATTTGAATAATTTTGTTGATTTTTGACGAAATCATCTGACCAACGAACTCAGGCGAGATTTAGGTACACTTAAAGTGTATACCAAATTTGAAGTCGATTCATTAAAATTTGTTCGAGTTATCGTCGGACAAAATTTGTCTACAGACAGACATACATACATACATACATACAGACATACATACAAACATTTTTTTAAGACCCATTTTTTCGGCATTAGAAAGTCTCAAAACGTCGAGATTCACTGGAATTAGAAAAGGCTCAAAATCGCCCAAATGTAATACCTTCTCATTATGATGAGAATGTAAAAAATTAATCTTTAATTAAAAATTAAAAAAAAAAAAATTCGAAACATTATGAGTAAGTTACTGTTATTTGTGTTAATTAAAGGTGGTTTAAAGAGAAATAATACATATTTGAACACATTTTTTCAAAATAAAGTGATTTTGCTCTGCATTTTACCCATTTTTCATCCGTTTTTGTCATTTTTTGTCTTTTTTTAAAAAAGTGGTATAACTTTTTTGTTTTAATCGCTATTAAAAATTGTCAAAGGAAGAAAGTGTTTATTTTTAGTCGTAATTTTCGAAAAAGAATTAAAAAATTTTTTTTTTTTTTAAAATGAGAATTTTTGAAATTTTTAAAAACTCAAAATTTGAATAATTTTGTTGATTTTTGACGAAATCGTCTGGTCAACGAACTCAGGCGAGATTTTGGTACACTTAAAGTGTATACCAAATTTGAAGTCGATTCATTAAAATTTGTTCGAGTTATCGTCGGACAAAATTTGTCTACAGACATACATACATACAGACATACATTAGACAAACATTTTTTTAAGACCCATTTTTTCGGCATCAGAAAGTCTCAAAACGTCGAGATTCACTGGAATTAGAGAAGGCTCAAAATCGCCCAAATGTAATACCTTCTCATTATGATGAGAATGTAATTAGTAAGAAATGAAGATTCATACGAAGCTGTAGTACGCAACGTTTATGATAAACGATTTTTGAAGACTAAATTTTTTAAAATTAAAAATTCTGTAATTTTTTACCTAAAAAATATTTCTTGTAGTTTTCATTAATCAGCAAATTATAAAAAAAATATTTTTTAGGCAAAAAATTATAGAATTTTTATTTTAAAAAATTAATTCTTAAAAAATCGTTTATCATAAACATTGCGTACCTCAGCTTCGTAGATTCATCGAGAGGTTATATTTTCTGTATATTTATACACAACACTATTATGACAAAATACGAAAATTGACAGTTTCGATAAACAAAAGCGCAAACGTCAAACAGGAAAAAAATGTAATCAATATCATGTATTTACTTTTTCTTTTTTCAAATATACTAAATTTAAACAGGAAAATCGTAATTGAAGAGGAAAATGCAAAAGTACTCCTTTCGTCATTGTTCCATTACAACAAAGAATAAAAATATTCTACAGTGAAATGGAATATTCGTATTTTAAGAGGAAATATTCAGAGGATTTTAGAAGAGGAATTTTGCTCTAAATTTAAGATTACTTTTTTTTGGGTGTATCAAACATTATAATAATGAAATAAATTTATACTTAATAAAATAATGGGAAGTAATTGATTTATCCAATAATTTTAATTTAAAATATACAAATAGAACAGTTTAAACTTTTAAGAATTATTGAATTTTTGAATGCGTGAAGAACGTATACAAATTTCTGAAATTTTGAAATGTGTTATGATTTTTAGAATAATTTACATTTGGGAAAGATGGAATGAACTTTCTTTAAATATTTAAATTTCTGATAAATATAAATAATATTTTTAAAAAAATAAACTTATTAAACATTTTTATTGAAATATTTGAAAAACAATCAAATATTGGATACTTTCTGCATAAACTTTTAATAATAACAGAAATTTAGAATATATGTTACTTTAAAATTGTCTCATGAATAGCCCATGCGTCGCTAACGTTTTCACGCAAAGTATATAAGTGGGCGTGGCTTAAACTCCTGTTGCAAGAGTCTCATACCGAAAAAGCATGAGACTCCTGCAATCCTAGTAGGACTGTGTTCTATACTTTTGCCGCATGGCGCTCCTGCTTTCAGAGCATGAAGTTCTTCCTATGAGAGTATGTTCAACATACCTTTTTACCATTGATTGCTTTCATGCTGAGAACGCATGAATTCTTGCTCTAATTGTAGGAAAAATTCATGCTGGAATAGTAAGAACTACTTTCATACTATAAAAGCCAGATTTTTCTCTCCGTGTGCGATTCCAGGTGAGATTTTGACTTTTTCGGAGTAGGTTAACCGATTGCAATGAAACTTTAGAATTTTGTTATATATAGTAAGACTAATCTTTAACGTAAATTTCAGCTTAAAATATTTGTTAGTTTACGAGATTTGCAATAATAACAAAAAATTTTAAACTGCTGTATCTTCCGTTTTAATAATCGGATTGAGGTCTACTTTTTTTTAAAATATCAAGGAAAATGAGAGGAATAAATCTCTTTCAGAACAATCTTTATAATTTTACTACTAAAAAAATTATTAAATAATAATTGAATAAATTTCACGCGACAATTTAAAATTCAATCACTTAAACGCTAAAATGATCTTACCAGTGTTTTCTTTAATGTTCCAAAGGAATCCAATTGTAAATGCAAGTTTAAATTATTTAATTTTAATAATTTACGAGTAGAAACAATTGCGATTTCTGCATGTTGACGTGCAGACGACATTGCGCACGCAGCATTCTCACGTAGTCAATTTAGTCCACGAATCACGTCAGCTGGTTACAAGAGAATGCTGCGTGCGCAATGTCGTCTGCACGTCAACTAGCAGAAATCGCAATTGTTTATACTCGTAAATTATTAAAATTAAATAATTTAAACTTGCATTTACAATTGGATTCCTTTGGAACATTAAAGAAAACACTGGTAAGATCATTTTAGCGTTTAAGTGATTGAATTTTAAATTGTCGCGTGAAATTTATTCAATTATTATTTAATAATTTTTTTAGTAGTAAAATTATAAAAAATTGTTCTGAAAGAAATTTATTCCTCTCATTTTCCTTGATATTTTAAAAAAAGTAGACCTCAATCCGATTATTAGAACGGAAGATATAGCAGTTTAAAATTTTTTGTTATTATTGCAAATCTCGTAAACTAACAAATATTTTAAGCTGAAATTTACGTTAAAGATTAGTCTTGATATATATAACAAAATTCCAAAGTTTCATTGCAATCGGTTAACCTACTCCGAAAATGTCAAAATCTCACCTGGAATCGCACAATGTGAAACTCAAAAAACTTATAAAAAATAAGATTTGCAAGCAGTACATCACTGAAGATAATAAAAAAACAAATAACTCGAAATTATTCAAAAATTTTATCGTCGCTACAGTATTTTTATTTTATGAATTTTTTTTGTCAATTATTATTAGTTTTTATTTTTACTTTGCTTGTTAATTTTCTTTTTATTATTTTAATTTGAAACATAGGAAAAAAATTTATTAAAATCTATTTGTTCGAATGTCGTTTTTATCATTAAACTATATTTAATACTTTTTTTCTTTTCTGTACGTTGGTTACATCGTTTACTTCATCAATTGCTATATGGTTAATGACGTAGTTAACTATAAAATGACAGTTTAAAGTAATTATTATTTTTGATATATATTTTCATAAAAATAACAATTGCATTATCTGAACGAATTCGCAAAATCAAATATTTTATAAATTATCTTAAACGTATTATATGAGGTTCCTGTGAGTCATATAATGACTCATTAAACTTATAATTATATAAAAGAATAAAAATTACGTTCAAAGAAAATTTCAAAAAAATTCCTAATATTTCTAACGTTTTCGTTATTATTTTTTTGTGAATTTTAATTAAATATGAAATTTATTTCAGAACCACAGAAACAAGTAAATCCATAATTATTAATTCATTTGTTAACACAGGCTACTTGAAATTTAATTTTTCAATAAAATACTTCAATTCTCTCCATATTTACCATTAAAATAATGTCTTACCTGTAAACACATTCTAGTGAACTTTCGTGTTTCTCAAAAGCTCCCCATAGTGCATTATTTCTCATTTTGCTAAATTCATTAATAGCCTCTGAAAAATTTTTTCCGTTTTGTTCGAAATTATATGTAGATTTGATAACATTAGTTACTGGTTTTATCACGTCAACATCGGACGGTTTTTTAAGAGGTATCGAAATTAATTCTATCATGTTAATGAAAATACTGGTTCAATCAAATGAAAAAGCAAAATAAATTGCACTTAAAATTTTTCTACAATGAACAACTGTCACCAAAGATAAACAAACGATTATTTTGTATCACGTAAAAAGGATAATCCACCTCTTAAGAAGTGTGAATAGTAAATTAATGGGAATAAAGGTACGTATATAACAGTACATATGCGCAGCAGGTTACCATGGTGACATAACAAAATCTAAAGGCCTCAGCAGAATGAACGTAACCACTGAACTCTATTAGGCTGTGACACTGAACTCTATATATCTGGAATGCTGTCTGCTATTGAAGGTACGATCATACGACTTTTGGAAAAACCATTCTTGTCTTTCTCTCTCCTAAGACAGAGGCATAAGATTGTCACACTCTGCATTTTCTTACATTTCCCAAAGACGGAAAATGCAGAGTGAGACAAACTTAGGCATTTGTAATAGGAGAGAGAAAGACAAGAATGGTTTTTCCAAAAGTCGTGTGACCGTACCCTAATGGTCGCGAGCAGAGAGAGAGGGCAGATTTTTGTATTCCTCTCCTTCTCTTGCTAAACTGCGCAGGCGTAATACAATACGTTCCAAAAGTTTACTGTTAACTGTGTTATGTCATGTTCACGTATACATACTGTTAAATATTTTCTAACGGACCTGTACCGACAAAGAGGAGAATCAAGAAGACTAGAATAAGGAGGTCTAACTCAGGTAGTGGGGATACGTAAAGAATTGGTTTTCGAGGTAGGCCGAAAGGCAGAGTGTGCGGTAGACTTCTGCGCACACCAATACATATACATTTTTGTTGCCTTGTCAAGAATAATAGAGCATTTACACCTTTGGTAAAAAAAATTTTTTATTTTGATTTTCGGAAATGCAAAGATCTGATTGGTTGTCCATTATCAATCAGATTGTGAACAACCAATCAGGTTTGTGTATTTCGGAAAATTCAAAAATAAAAAATTTTTTTACCAAAGGTGTAAATGCTCCGTGACCTTATTACTGAAACTTGTATGTATAAGGTTATTCAAGTTGGGTGGGGGAAAGCCAAGCTGGTGCACAAACATCCGGTCTATCAGCACACATTTCCACGTATTTCTCGTGGGAATGAATGCTGATAGGCTGATAGGCCGGATTTTGTGCACCAGCAATCATCCATCTTGGCTTTCCCACACCCAACTTGAATAACCTTATTGGTATGCGCAGAAGTCTACCGCACAATTCTGCCCTTCTCGAAAATCCGCCTACTGCAACTACCAATTTCATACGTATACTTACCATACCCCCACTACCTGAGTTAGACCTCCTTATTCTAGTCTTCTTGAGGAGAATACAAGAATGAGCCCTCTCTCTACGGAAGCCTGTACGGCTCACGAGCGTCTCGGACGCAAGTGGCACGAAGTCCGTCCAACTTGTGGCAAGTTCGTTAGTTCGTGCCACTTGTGGAAAGTGGATTTTTTGAAGGGTCATTCACAAATATGACAATTCCGTTGGATCCTGTTGCTATCTATTTCGTCAGTGCTTTTCATTTCAATTTCATGTGAAGAAGAAGAAATGAATTTTATGAGATATTAGTAATATTAGCATATTAGTAAATGTCATCGAACAAACTTTTTATAGTTCACACATAAATACTCTTTCCAAACGTAAATATACATATTAATAAACTAAGGATTCCACTAAGAATTAGGCGGAAGTTTTTTCATAGTTTTTTTAATTTTTCTTAGTTTAGAATAAAAATAAGATTTTTTGGTTATGTTGTCATTTTTTAATTTAAAATACATGAAGAGGATTTTATTTTTTAAAATCAAAAGTATATTTTTATGAATATTTAAGATTAATGAAGATGTCAATATCATTTGTTTACACTGAAATGTAATCTTTTACATGTATTTTCAATTAAAAAATAACAAATTCATTTTTATTCAAAAACATTAAACGGACTTGCCCGGATGAAATTATATTTGAAATGAAAAGCACTGACGAAATAGACGTACGGCAACAGGATCCAACGGAATTGTCATATTTGTGAATGACCCTTCAAAAAATCCACTTTCCACAAGTGGCATGGAGTCTGTCCAATAAGTGGCACGAACTAACGAACTTGCCACAAGTTGGACGGACTTCGTGCCACTTGTGGTACACGTAACCGTCGTAAAAGCAACCAGAAGAGTGAGTTAGAAAAGGATAGACATATTGTTTGTCTTTTTCTAACATAAACTTCTAATTGACTTTAAGGCGCCGTCCCATGACAGCGTGAAACGTCGGATTAAAAACTAAGGGAGAGTCCAGAATAAGTGGTTTCTGAACGTCAACGAATCATCTATTTTTGTCTCTCCCATTACTGAAGAGTCCAGAATAAGTAGTTTCTGAACGTCGACGTATCATTCTATCTTTTTCTCTCCCATTGATGTCCCATAAGATCGACGCGTCGCTATCAACGCGTCAACCCGTATTCTGGACTCTCCCTCAAAGCATGAGAACGTAAGAGATAGGAGATCCGTAACCGGAATCGTAATCGTTAACGCAACCGGAGAATAAGTTAGAGAAGGACAAATAATTTATTTATACTCCTCTAACTCATTTTTCCGGATGTGTTTGTGATGACTATTTCGGTTACGTTTCTATTCTGCTCAGGCCTTAAGGCCTTTCTCCAATATGTTCCTAAATGTTTGCGTTGCGTGACTGACGTGTTGGTTCGCAAGCGCAGTGACGTCATCAAAACATTGATACCAATCGCGAACAAAAAGTTTAGTTTATGATTTTAAGAAAGTGAATTTTTTAATTATAAATATTAAATAATTAAAATTTCTAAAAGCCGTCGAGAAAAATTTGCATTAAAAATTGTAAAGTTGGAAAAAAGGGATAAGAGGAACATAAACCAAACTTTTTGTTCGCGATTGGTATCAATGCTTTGATGACGTCACTGCGCTTGCGAAACAACGCATCAGTCACGCAACGCAAACATTTAGGAACATATTGGAGAAAGGCCTTTAAAGGCCTTTCTCCAATAGGATCCTAAACTCTTGCGTTGCGTATGCATTGCGTCGGTTGCTATTGGCAACCAATGCTAAAATCAACGCGTCAGTCACGCAACGCAAAAGTTTAGGTTCCTATTGGAGAAAGGCCTTAAAGGCCGTTTCCGAATTAAACATAACCAACCAACCTAAATTACTAACTCACTGGCGTTACGAGGTACGATTGAATCGACCCACTCGTGCGTGCCTCGTGGTGTGCTCCGTATCCGTATCCTACGGAAGCTTTGACGATGCTTATTTGTTTTGATTGCAAACCCAGTATAATTATTTTATTGTTATTACCGTGTTTTAATAAATGAAATGACATTAAATGTAACAGAACAATTTAATAAAAATTAATTTATAAGCATAAATAGATTTTTATATACTGGTTAACATTATCGATAGAATATTATTTATAGTGATTAAATAATAATAAGTGCAAAAATGTTTATGTTTATCCGTTTGTTTAAGTCTTAAAATTTTAATTCGTTTCTACATAAATATGAATATCGATGTTTGAAAGGTTATCTTAAAAAGAAATAGTTTCTTTAGGTCGTATAAATTTGATTTATTTAAAGAGAGACGCGTACACGTCAATTTCTCAAACAAACATTTCTACATTAAACATAAATTACAAGTTAAAAATCAAATAATAATTCCATTTCTTTATGTTTAAATGTTGTTAAATATACATATATTGTTATTATTTAAAACTTGATAAATATTGTTATTTTTTATTTAACGTATTAAAAGTCAACTTTATCTTGAAACTTTTCATCAGTAACATATTTCTCTATTTTTTAATATTTTCTTTGTAAATAATTTATATCAGCAGAATGTATATAATATGACAGAATAAATATCAAATTTTCAGAAATAATTATTTTATTTTGTTTTTAACAAAACGATCATACATTAACCTTAAACTAATAAAACGAAAGCACATTTAAAATCCAGTTGTTTAATAAATTCTATCAAGAATATAAATATTGTTTGATTAAGTATATCAGATAATTTTACATTTGATGTCCATTTTTTTTTAAACACGGTAATAACAATAAAATAATTATACTGGGTTTGCAATCAAAACAAATAATAAGCGTCGTCAAAGCTTCCGTAGGATACGGATACGGAGCACACTACGAGGCACGCATTAGGCTGTCAGTTCATCGAAATATTTCGAGTTCAAGATATGACGTCAAAGGCCTGGAGGGACAACAAACAAACGAAACAATGTTATTCTTAAGGTGCTTATATACCTCAAATTTCGATCAGATGAATATTATTTCTGGACCGTAAAAATGCGTGAAAAGTCATTTTCACGGCGGGTATTTTTGAATTGTTTTAAACAAAAAATGTTTTTTTAAGAAATATAATATTAAATAATTGTTTTAATATGTAAGAACACTTTAAAATAGTGATAGAGAGATGATTTGATTAAAAAATTTAGCAAATTTTGCTTTAAAACGTTTTCTGCTACAAGAAAGTGTAAAATGACGATGTTTGTGAAATGGTTTGTACAGTGCTTCTTCCTTGTGAGTGTCTCTCAGAGTTTTGTTTATGTTATGTCGTTTCTTTTTAACTTGTAATAAATAATGAGTGCTGAAAATAAATCAGTAAGTTGAAATGTTTATCAAATAAATTTAAATTCTACTAATTGTTTCGAATAACTGAAAGAAACATGTACACATGTACACTGTACAAACCATTTCACAAACATCGTCATTTTACACTTTCTTGTAGCAGAAAACGTTTTAAAGCAAAATTTGCTAAATTTTTTAATCAAATCATTTTTCTATCACTATTTTAAAGTGTTCTTACATATTAAAACAATTATTTAATATTATATTTCTTAAAAAAACATTTTTTGTTTAAAACAATTCAAAAATACCCGCCGTGAAAATGACTTTTCACGCATTTTCACGGTCCAGAAATAATGTTCATCTGATCGAAATTTGAGGTATATAAGCACCTTTATGGGGAAAAAAATGTGTTTCCACCAGGAAGTAAGAATAAAGGCCAACGCACAATAGGTTCGGGAAAGTCGTTCGCGAACGAGATGCATGAGATAGAAAAGGATACGAATATATTTCTGTCCTATTCTAACTCATATGTCACGTTTGCGAACGTCTTTCGCGAAGCTATTGTGCATTGGCCTTAA